GGGGCTTTGGGTGGGGATGCTGTAAAGCGCTTTGGGACAATGTAATGTTGTGATAATGCGCTATACAAAAATAAATTTGTTGTTGTTGTTATTGCGAAGATGTGTAGTGGATTCTAAAATCTGTTTACCCTTCTTTATAACGCGGGTCAAACAGATTTCCAGAAACCGATGATGTCATGCCCTGCTCGTCCGATCCTCACGTCTGTCACGCTCGCTCGCTATCTCATACGGAATCCCCGTGTCACCAGCTGTTTCTCATTGTTAATTAGTCCAGTGTATTTAAGTCCGCTTTCGAGTATTTTTCCCCAGTCCGTTCATTGACGTCGTGTTGCTGTTTGAGCTAGTCTGTCTTCACATTTGATTAAACCCTGAGTTCACCTGATTTCGTGAGTCTCGCTCCTGCTTCCCGGGTCAGTACCCCGCAGTCTAGAACAGAATGACTTGACTCCAAAAGGAGACGCCTCCCCTCACCGAGGCGGAATACCTCGATCTGTCTCCCTTTTTGAGTGTCGGAAGGAGCCCCCTCCGATTTTCGACCCAGCGATGTTCACGTCACCAAGATTCCCCGCCTCTTCTCTGCCTGCGCCCACAGTTCGTCTGCCCGCTGCTTCGCAACATTTTGGAATGACGGCGCCCGAAGCCTGTGCAATCGTTCGTGAGCCTGAATCCTGCGCAATCGCTCGTGAGCCCGAAGCCTGTGACGACTCGAGAAGCCTGACCAGGGCAACTTTTCCCCCCAAGTGGAATCCCTAATGATATCGCTAACCGAATAATCATTAAATGACTATAGGGATGTGACTAAAAATTTCAAAATGAATAAAATGTCCTTTTCTTTATATCATTGGAAAGAGCTTGAAGAGAAATAAGAAAGTTATTGAATTTTAAAAACAGTAATATTGCTCGCAATATCTGTCAAGAATTACCATTAAAACAAAAGAAAATCTTCCTATTTTAAAATGGCATACAAAAGAATGTATAAAATGCATTAACATTACATAAAAAGAAAATGCACACACAAATTGTCCAGCACCTATAAATAAATATTATGAAAACAAAGGCAGACTCATTTAACTGCTTGTAACTTTCTTATTTCAACACAAACACGCAATGCACTGCAGCCCCATGCTCGGGTAGTATCACGGATTTGGAAAAAATCCAGGTAGCGCGATCTCGGGGATACGCGCATACATACTGTCTAACTCGTATCTCAGGCTCTAGTGTCCTCCTTGGTTTCACCCAGCCAGCTCATCTATAGCCAGTCTTCTTATCCCCCTCTGATACCATGTTTTCATTCCGAAAACAAAACTGCTTAGATCAGAGCCTGGGATGTAACACCGGTACAGTGATCCCCTGCCTGTCGCGGAAGATACGTTCCAGACCCATCAGCGATAGGTGAAAATCTGCGATATAGAAAGACCATATAAATAAACTTCTTTTAATAGATATAGTTTAAAGCAGGGGTCTCCAACTCCAGTTCTGGAGAGCTACTATCCAGTCGGTTTTCTGTCCCACTTGGCTTCTGATGAGCCACACCTGCTCCTGGTATTTACTTGAGAACAGGTGTGGCTCATCAGAAGCCGGGTATGATGGAAAACCTACTGGATGGTAGCTCTCCAGGACTGGAGTTGGTGACCCCTGGTTTAAAGTCTTAAAATACCCCTCCCACATGCTTTAAATACATGTAAACTTATTAAAACACATTTTGTAAACACATGGTATGTGGATGGCAGGCTAGGGATTTGAGTTACATAAAATGTAAGAACTGCTTCGGGGAAAAATTCGCGATATAGATGGGGATCACTGTAGTATCATTCCGGTACCAATAAAGCCATCATTTTATACCTGAACGACTGCCGCCCTATTGGTGTCAGATGCCGGCGGGCGGAGGCTTTAGTTGGAATCCGGTATCCAGCCATGGGTAGGCCTATATGTAGTAGCGACGAGCTAGTGAACCAGACTTCCAGAAACAGACAACTGTCAGTCGGAAGATAGGAAACACCTGNTGTATAAAAACAGTTTGGGGAAAGCCCTTTCCTATTCCAGCATGATGGTGCACCAGTGCACAAAGCAAGGCCCATAAAGACATGGTGGGGTGTGTTTTTGGTGTGGAAGAACCGACAAAGAGTCCTGAACTCAACCCCATCAAAAACCTTAGGGATAAACTAGAATGGAGATTGCAAGCCAGGCTTCCATGTCCAACATCAGTGCCTGACCTGACAAATGCTCTTCTAGATGAATGGGCAAAAATTCTCTCAAACACAGTCCAAAATCTTGTGGAAAGCCTCCTCAGAAGAGTGGCAGCTGTTAGAGCTGCGAAGGGGGGACCAACTCCATATTGATGCCTATGGATTTAGAATGGGATGTCATAAAAGTTCCTGTAGGTGTGATGGCCAGGTGTCCCAATACTTTGTCCATATAGTGTATGTTGATGAATGAAGAACATGCTGCATAAAAATAATCTGGTTAATACAAATCATGGTCTGTGGAATGTACAGTAAAGGTTACTACTGTGGGAGAAAAAAAGTCAGCCTCTCCAAGTGGTAAGCAACCCTTGGTTGGCCTACTTAAAATAAGACTCTGGGCCTCACAGATGGTCCCCTTTATTCAGCAAACTGACACAGCACTCCAGCTAGACTGATACCAGGTACCTCGGGCACAAAAAAAGCAACCAGCTGATGTACTGTAACACCCACTCCCATATAAGGACTTCTAAGTCCTGATTGGTCACAAAATACCCACAAACATAGCTCCAACATACAACAAATATTATTCTCCACGACTATTAGTCTACCTTAATATCAGGTTGTTCACCTTTCACTTAACATCTGCCTAATTTGTTCAATTCTCAGAACATGCTATTTTCCCAATAGGCTTCTACCCTTAAACTTTTACTACGAATACATGATTAATCTTGCTTATGTGTTTGAGCTGTCGTGTAACATATTGCATATTAACATATTGCGACTATATACTACGTCTATAACATTCTGTGCATTCCCTTGAGCTTAGCCAGTCGGTGCAGTTTCAAATCCCTTCCTCCGAGACACACAGTATTCAAAACAATATCTTCATGCATGAGGTCTTTCTTTCCACACCACTTGCCAAATTAGAAATTTATATGGATAAATAAAAAGTATCCAATACATAAAGTAAAATACCAGATAAATATCTTAAAATATGTTTTAAAATAATTAGAATGAATATAATTTCATGCAAACTATATACAATAAATGTAAACATTATGTAAAGTGTACATCTGCATCAGCCCATGCTCCCCGACCTGATACATGTATTTTTAGATAAATATATTTATATATCCTTACACCAGAAACATTATGCACGTCATGTTCTTCACATTGTATTCCCATAAATTCTGTGTGCATTATGTCAAATGTTCATCTGTAAAACTAAATCCTTTACTCTTTATACTTGTTAATTAGTTTGGTGGTTATAGGTAACCATATAATTGTTTATCTTTTCCATTGTTATTTGCAGATGTCTTTTATCAACGAAATGTGCGCTGCAGTCTGTGACATTCGCGTTACGTCCCGCTCAATAGGTACAGGCTTCTTGCTGTTTGATCGTTATATACTCACAAATGCACATGTCATTAACATTATTAACGAAGGAAATTTACAGCAGGAGGTTTTTGTCATGTTTACCTTTGAAGACATGAAGGGTGGAACATACTTCCTCCCTTTAAACGTAAAACAAGAGGTTGTTGCTTACAGGTTTGATCATAATTGGCAACAAGGCCTGGATTTTGCTTTACTGGAGCTGGATCTGCAGGAGCATGAGGTTCAGTTACTACCTCCTGCTTTTCTAAGTACATTTGGACCTCCTTCAGAGAAGGGAGGGATCTACTCTATTGGACACCCTGGTGGGCTATGTTCCATTACTGAAGATCCCATCTATTTAGAGGGTGAAATATTCAGGTATAAAACAAATTTCACAGAAGGGTCCTCGGGCTCCCCAATCTTTGGGGATAGTTTACAGTT